TTCTTGCCCACCGCATATGTGCGTTTCGTTTCGGTGAGCTCGGTGCCCAAGGCCCTTAAATTGCACGACAGTGAGTTCCAGTCGCGCTTCATCACAGTTCGTGAGGACTCGTACAAGAACAAAGAGCTGAAATCGCCAGAATGCACACTGACCATCGCTAACACAGGCAATTATGAACACTACAAATCAGAGACTATTGAGAAGATCTTTAAGAAGCACGGCGAGATTTTAGACCTTGATGTTGTTTGCACGAAGACCATTTTGGGCTTTGTCACCTACAAAACTGCCGAGCAGTCCGAAAAGGCGCTTAAGCAGTTAGATGGCAAAACTGTCGGTGATCTGGAGATTAAATTGGAAAAGTATCGTTACAGCTCATGCGGGCGCACCATTCGGGTAACAAACTTAGCTCCAGGTGCGTTTATTATACAAATTTTGATCAGTGTGACATTTACTAATTTCTTAAATTCTTTTGTTTAGGCGTCGAAGAGGAGGATCTTAATGAGCTGTTCAAAAAAGCGGGCGAAATTGAGAGCATCCTAAAGATGCCTTATAAGGCAGTCATCAAATTCGCCACTGACGATGGCTTCTGCAAATCCTTCCTGTTTAACGAGCGGTTGATTAAAGGTCAACCCATCTTCTTGGAGCCAAACTCAGCACTAAAACATAAATTGACCCAGAAGAAGCATGCAAACAAACCACAGCAATTCTTTGGAAAGCGCGCTGCTCCTGCTGCATCAAATGCACCTCCGGCCAAGTTTAAGAAATTCAACAACAGCAATAACAACAACAACAGCAATCAGACGAACAAGCCCTTTAAGAAACGCCCAGAACAGGGCAACGGCTCCACGCCGAAACCATTCAAGAAGGCCAACAAGGTCTAATCTTTTTGTTTTGCCGCCTAATATCCTAGTCTTAAGTTAAAAAAAAAAAGAAAAGAGAAAAGAAAATAGTACCCACATCCCAATGCAACAACAGACAGTGCATTGATATACGTTTTATAAGCTGGCAATATGTGTCTGCACCTATTCAAGAATTGTATTTTGAATATTTTACAATATGCTAATAAAGCTGAGTATCACTAATTGTTAACATTTGTCGGCAAACGCGCTTTTGCTCAGCAATTTCGCTGCCTTTATGGGCTGAGCGGCTCAGCCCAAATAAAAACTTGTAAGTCCCAACGCGAATAAATTGCAAATTTCCAACACGTACAAGCCAAAAACAGAAGAAAAGAAAAACCGAATGTGAATGTGAATGTGTGCTTTGAGTGTTTGTGTTTAGCCACTTTGAGTGCCTGCTGCCGGCTCCCATTGGCACATGATTCATTACACTTTGTGGACGCTGTCGTCGCGAGCGAGTGATTCATGCTGGCCCAGGCCCAGCGATTTCACACGCAAACACACTTCATTTCTCTTTCTCCAATATGCATAGTGGCGCTCCCATTGCACCGACGTCGTCATCGTCCTCGCATCTTAGCTCATTTGGACCCCATCCTCCATTGCGCACAATGCAAACGAACAATGGCGTCGGGTCAGCCGCTGGGGGCGCGCCTGGGTCACTAGCCATGACGAGCGCCATTTGGGGCACCGCTCCTACCAGCTGCGGCGATGATAGCACAAATGCGCTCCCAACTGTATGGGCTAATTGCAGAAAAGTACTTGACTAATTGCACTTAGTAATTGCCAGCTGCTAATTTTGTGAATAACCACTTGGGAGTGAATAATTAATTAACGATGTAATAATTATAAATTATCATTTTAACGCCTCGACAGATGATAATTACATATATCCAAAGAATATAGCAGCAATATAGATTTGTTGTTAAACACAAACCTTGATTCAATTAGTAATTTCCTATTATAATCAAATCCTTTTTATAAAAGTCGGTATATTTTGAAAATTTTGAAATATTATTTTTGTAAATTTAAGCCTTGAAATGAAACGAAGTTCCAGCTGTGTAATTAAAGTAATAAATAAATTAAAGTTAAAATACAAAAAAAAATTAAAGCCTGTAAAATGTTGTACTTATATCAGGTGTCAAAGAATGTACACATATGTAAAAGAAACGTTCCAAATAAATCTTTTTACTTTTTTAAATATATATTTAGAACTGGGAATAATTTAAGAAATCATGAATTGGTTTTATCTTTACGAAAATCTCTTAAATATTTTCGAAAACCTTGAAAATAAGAGTATATTTCATTTCATCAAATATTCGTACTTTGATGTAACTTTAAGTTCGAATCTAAAAATAATTTTCACTGCACTGAAAATGATATTGAAATTTAAATTTTTCATAGCTTAAAGGTAATGCAGAAACGCCAATCTTTTGGATAAATCTTCAGTAATCCATAATCGGTCGTAAACCTGAATATTATATATCTGAAATATCCTAAATGAAACCCATTGACTAAACACAAAGAAAATATAATATTTTGTATATTTAACATTTATTGGTAATAAATTTGTATGCAAATATCTGTTCATTTCAATTGGTTTATCCATTTCACAATATGTACTTGTTGTCTTGATATTTGATGTATGTATTTATTGGTATATGATGTATATGTATGTAAATGCATGCATTTTTTTATTTTTTTTTTTTTTTGTATGGTAATATGTATGTTTTATTGATAATATTAGTTTTCTTAGATGTTTCAACTTGTTGTTAGCATATATATTTAATATTTATCTGGATAAATAACTAAACTACGCATATAAATAGTACGTATGTTTGTTTTACTGTGTGTAAAATATAGTTTATTAGTTAAATGCGCTCTGTGGCCAATGCAGGAAGAAGAACCAACAAACGTAGCCAGTGCCAGAGCCAGAGCCGGACCCTGCCCCAATCCTCGACAGCAGCTGTTGGTCAATGAATCACTTGGGATCAGTCTCTCTCTCTACTGAGCTTGACGCGCGTTCTGTGCCAAGTCAAGCCCAACAAATTGTGGCCGTGAGTGTGTGCGGGGGGTGTTGTCAAAGTAGAGGGGGGGGCGGGCGGTCTGTCGGACAACGCTATTAGTCATATTTAGCAATAAATATAATTATAATTTAGCTTACGCTTTAGATTAGCAATTTACTTATAATAAGGCAAACGAAAGTGAAGGGCACTGGGGCGGGATTATGCAAACCATAACGCGAATTGAACAACTAACTAAATACGATTATTATATATTTAAGCAGGTATACATATAGATATATATATATATATACCGTAATCGTAGCACATATGTGTGCTAATGCACGTTGGGCATGCAGACGCATTGTATATTTGATTTATTGTATATAGGCAAACTTTCAGATCTAGCAACTTAACTACAAAATGGGTCCATTGCTGGTTTGAGTTTTTAACTTTTACAAAAAAAAAAGCAGGCAAAATTGGTTTCTCAATAAATTCGAATCGTTGACGCTTTGGTAACTCTCCCTCTCTCTCTCGCTCTCGCTCTCTCTGTCTCTCTCTTCAACTCACAAAATGGAATTTCAAATACAAATTATAAGACTTCAAATAAAACAAAATAAAAAGATTTGTATAAATGTTGTCGTTTGTTTTTTTTTTTTTGAGATTTTTTTGTTTGTTGATTTTTTTTTGTTGTTTTTTAATTTTTTTAATATGTAATATCGTTTTAAACATAAAAGTATAGAGTGTGCAAAAGTTACATTAAATGTTCGGCTTGTGCTTGTTGTTGTTCTTGCTGCATAATTTACAAATTAAAAATTAATAATACAATACAAATCAAATTGTGTGTGCGCGGTAAATGTTGTTCAAAATAATCAAAAACAAAATGAAATTAATATTTCTGATTTTCCTTCTTTTTTTTTTTTTTTTGGACAAAACACTGGGCTAACGATCTGCTTACACCACACTACAAATTTGCGTTTCGTATAAGTTGTGTTAAGATTTCTTCTCTTTTTTTTTTTTTCTTTGTTTTAAGTAAATTTGAGGAACGTTTATATGTATGCTGCGTATGCGTGTGTGTGTATGTTGTGTGTGTGTGTTTGGGAGTGCACTCAAAGGAAGCACCCAAATGTTGACAGTAAAAAACACATAAATTCTATAATATTCAATGTTGTTTTTTTTTTTTTTTATAGCGCACCGTGGTTCAAAATCCAACATTTTGCTGACCAAATTTTCGTCAGCTGCGCGCAAAATTTTTTGATCATTTTGTTATTTTTTTTTTTTATGTTCTTTCTTTATGGATTAGTTCTGATATATATCAAATATTACGTGTGTTAGAATTCCAACTACAAGCTACATTTATAACTTTTCTTTTCTTTCTTTCTTTTTTTTTCTGCTAAACGTTCACCACATTTTCTTGTATAAGTTTATAAGTTGTTGTTGTTTTTTTTTTGTTCGTTATTTTCAGTTTTTTGTTTTTGAATATTTTTGTGTGGTTTCCTATAAAAACACTTTTAGTTTTTTGTGTTTTTTTTTTGTTTTTTTTTTTTTTACTTTTCTTGTTTCGTTTCGTTTTGTTGCGCTCCAAAGATTCTCTTGCTGGTTTTCAACTTAGAAATAGACACATTAAAAATTTCGTTTAATACATGAGAGCAAAAATAACAGAGCGTGAGGAACAATTATAATATTTAAAATTAAAAAAGAATGAACTAAAAGTATGTAAATGAGAAAATGAAGCGAGCACACAAATGGAAAATCCTTTACAAAATATAGCACAAAACTCTAATCGACTTTGGGCTTGGAAAGATCGTAATTGTGCTGTTCGAGTGGTGGCGTTAATATTTGGAAAGGAAGGCATACATGTAAAAAAAAAAAAAGTGGACGCTTCACTGAGCCACAACTTGGAATTGGGAGGAGCGGAGGCGGAGGCGGAGGCGGAGGAGCTGGAGGAGGAGAGGGAGGGAGTAAGAAGGTCGCAAATTTCGCAGTTCGCTTTTCATGCGCAAAATACTTTTTCATAATATGTTTATAATATTAGTAAAGTAGTTATTTATTTTTCTCCATATATGATCATCAACTCATCTTCGGCTGCAGTTTTGGTGCCCGCCTAGAAATCTAGCAGTGCCACCTCCGGATTTTGCTGCTGTTGCTCCAAATTGGGCAGCGCCTCTTGCGCCGCCTCCAGAGCATCGTGCAAACCATTTCCATTCTGTTCCAGTTCGTTTATGCCATTGGCAGCAGTAGCTGTTGCTTCAGTCTCGGCTGCTGGCGGTGCCTCTGGTGCTGCTTCCGGTGCTCCTGGTGCTGCTGCAACAGCTGCTGCCTTGGCCGGTGTGGTGCCTGTTGTGGGTCGCTTGATTTTCATGCCAGCAGCTGGTGACGTTTTAGCGGTTTCTTTGGCTTTCGGTTTCAACGGCGAGCTGCTGGAAGCATTCTTCAGCGGCGACGACTTGCGCTGGGCGACGGCAGCACCGCTGCCCGCGGACAGCTGGGTGCGGCGCGTGCTGCTGGTGCTGCTGCCAACTGGCGCCGAGTGTGTAAACTTGGGCGCCGGACGCGCCGTGAAATTCTTTGTAATGGTCGAAGTTGTTGTTGTTGTTGTTGAAGTTGTCGTATTGCTGCCGGAGCTGCCGTTGGCCGCGGCCGATCTGATGCGAGTGCTGCTGGTACTGCTGCTGGTAGTTGTGCTGGGCTTGGTCGCGCCATTGGCCAGCGGTTTAGTGGGACTGCGCGTACCCGACAAAGTGCCAGTGGCTGGCGCCGTTTTGCGCAGCGTCGAAGACAAGGTGCTGCGCGGCGAAAGCGTCTTCGGCTTGGCAGCCAGTGTGGTGGAGCCAGTGCTGCTGCTGGTGGTAGCCGACTTGCTGGCCGTCACCTGCAGCCGCGACTTGGTGGCTGTGGCTGTGGCCGTGCCTGTGGTGCCGTTGCTGTTCGTGCTGGTTGCTGACTTGCGAACTGTGCTTGCGGTGCTGGTGGTGCTGCGTGCAGCGGCTGTTGTTGCCGGCTTGGCAGCGGTCTTGCTCAGGCTGCTGGCGGTCTTGCTGACCGGTGCTGTGCCCGGGCGTGCGCCGGCCAGCGTGCTGCTGGTGGAACGCGGTGCCGGCTTGCCAGCTGCATTGCTGGCCGTTAGCGGCTTGCGTGCGGTTGTGCTGCCCGCCTTGGCTGCAGTTGTTGTCGTTGTAGTTGTTGCTGTTGTTGTGGAAGAGCCTGTTTTGGCTGCGCCAGCAGCCGGAGCGGTGCGTGGGCGTGCTGCGGCCGGCTTGGACGCAGCAGCTGCTGTGGCACCCACTGTGCTCTTCTTGGTAATTGCAGCGGGCGACGGCTTCGCCTTGCTTGCTGCGCCGGTTGCTGCAGTTGTTGCAGTCTTGCCGGCCGGCTTCTTGGCTGCATCAGTGGGGCTGGCCTTGATCTTGGGCTTGGCAGCAGGAGCAGCAGCAGCAGCTACAGCTGCAACAGTAGCGCCTGCTGCAGCTGCAACTGCTGCAGCAGCCACTGCAGCAACGGGTACATCAGCCACTGGTGCCACCTCGGCTGGCTCCTCAGCGGCAGCTGGCTCGCTGGGCTCACTGGGCAACACAGCAGATGTCTCCTCCTGCTGCACAGGCTCAGCAATCTGTTCCACAACTGGCTCCGGTACGATCGGCTGATCCACAAGCGGCTCAGTGTCGGCCACGGGCTTTGACGCTTCCTCATTGTGTGCTTCGGGTGTTGGCTCTGGTGTCTCAATGCTGGCCAGACCATTTGTGTAGGGTGCGGGCTCGGTGTTGAGAGGTTGCGAATATGACACCTCCTCGATGAGTTCATCCTGAAGTTTCAGTTCGTCGTAGTTTGCTTGTGTTTCTTGTTTGAAAGCTGGTTCCTCCGCAACCTGTTGCAGCTCCTCCTGGAAGAGACGCTGCTGCGGTTGGGGTATAAAGTCTTCCTGCTGGCGCTGGTCCTCCTGGAAGAGCTGCTGATGCTCTTCCTGGAAGTTCTGCTGCTGTTCGTCATGCTGCTGCTCTTTCTGGATGTATTGCTGCTGTTCCTCCTGGAAGTGCAGCTGCTGCTCCTCCTGGAAAAGCGGCTGCTGCTGCTCCGGGAAATGCGGCTGCTGCTCCTCCTGGAAATGTGGCTGCTGCTCCTCCTGGAAATGCGGCTGCTGCTCCTCCTGGAAAAGCGGCTGCTGCTGCTCCTCTTGAATGTGTTTCAGCTGCTGCTGTTCCTCCTGCAAGTGCTGCTCCTTCTCCTCCGGGAAATTTGGTTCCTGCTCCTGGAAGAACTGTTGCGGCTCCTCCTGGAAGTCATGCTCCTGCTGTTGCAGCATGAACTGGTTGTCCAGCTCGTTTGAAAACTGCGCTTCCGTCTTAGGCAATTTCTCTTCCTCTGAATCAAATGGATTGCTGGCCTCAGCTGGCTCCTCTTTATTGTGGACTCCAAAGCCGGTAGCTGTTATGAAATCAGCATTCTCCACCTGCAAATTAAAGAATAGAAAAAGAAGTTGTTGAATTTGCTACTCGATAATTAAATACGAATGAGCAAAGCTCTTAACGCAGCACTTGCGATGCATCATTCACAATGAATTTGAAATGTTAATACCCCCAGCAGATGGTGATGATGATGATGATGATGATGATGATGATGACGACGATGACTAACAACAATCTGCCAAAAAACAAAAGGCACTAAACAATAACAACAACAACAACAACAACAATAGCAGCATTTGGATTGTGTCTGGCTGTCGTCTTCTTCACGCACAGATAATGTCGACATCGTCATCTCCCCTTCCCTTCCCACCCCTCTGCACCCACCAAAATGCTACTTGTGCGCCCCGCTGTTGCCTGTCAAATCGATAAATGCAATGAACCGGCACATGAAGCTAAAGTCCCTGGAAATGTCTTCATTTTTCGGGATTTGCGTTGGAAAAATATGGTAAAGATTTGAGCTTCTTTTTTCTTTCGTCTTTTTCGTTGTTTTTTTTTTGTTGTGTGCTTGCAATTGTGCGTCAAGAAAATGTTACTTATGGTGTTATATATAGGTTATAGCCTGTTCCCCCAGCCTGTCAGTCTGTCGCCTCTCCAAGTGAGCCCTGAGTGCTCACTGCAAGCTATAAAAATAGCAGCGCCCACAAAGTACAAACTGTATTATATATATATTTATATATATATATATAAGCAAGTGCAAGTATTTATGGTTGTGGCGATGCCAGTGAAAATAAATCACCCAGCCGATGAATTTCCAGCTAAATAAATGAAAGATTCTTTTTGCCCCAATCTCAGATGAGTAAGAAAACAAGATAAATAAACACAATTCATGCACATGCGTTCCAATCCGATTTAACAAAGTGTTTCGGGAATTTTTATTGCTTTCGGACAAAATTAATTCAACAAAAATACATATAACAATTGATTTTTGTTTTATAGAAAACCAGAATCTGTAGAAACTGAAGCGCTCTAATTAGCGCTCGTCTGCTGCATAAAACCAATTAAATCTATATATTTAAAAACCTCAATAAACCTGATTTAATATATTCAGGGTCACATTTATTTGATCGTCCCATAGCATACACATGCATATATAAATTAATTGACATCATTCCCTTAAGTGTATTTCTGAATAAATTGTGGGCGACCCCGTGAAGCATGCTATAAAAGTGTGAAATATTGGAAAGGCTGTTGCAGGGGTTAAAGAGAGTGCGAGAGGGGGGAGGGGGAGGGAAAGAGAGGGCGTGCACTGTGCAGAGCAACAACCCTCAAATGAAGCACGCGCTCACAGCAGACAGCACACAGCAGTTTCTGCTGCATATCAGCTGTGTGTGCGTATTTGCGAGGGTTGTGCACACACACACACACACACACACACACACACGCACAACACAACTCAAATTACTAATGCATACAAATTATGATAATGACATCAGCCGCGCGCTGAAGCGAACTTGTGAAAGTGAGAAAGCAGCTAGCATAGCGGCTGGCAATGTCATGACAATTGCTGCCATTGGGCAGCAACCGCCGCAACAACAACAACAACAACAACAACGAAGAGAAGCGACAGCAAACAGCGATGACATAGCGCGACACACACACACACACACTCACACAGAGAGAGACGCACAGAAAGCAAAAAGTCAGATGACAGGAAGCGTGTACTGTGACACGGCGTTAGTTTTGGCGGCGCTGTCCAACAGGGTACAAATGTAGCGTTAACACTTTTTCCGGCACTTTTCTTCTAGCACGCAACGCAACACCGCAGCAGCAATCGCAATCGCCTTCGCAGTTGCGGTCGGCGTCGCAGTCGGCGTCGCAGTTGTAAACGCTTTAAAATGTCATTGACCAGCAAATGCCACCAGCCGGGGCCGCAGTTGCCCGTTGCCGGTGTTTTGTCGGTGTTGCTGCCCACTTTTGGCCCACTCGCGCAATTGCTGGCTTTCTTTTGTTGCTCAAGCGTAATGGGGCTAAAAGTGAGCTGAAGCCGAAAAAGTTAAAATCAAAATGAAAATGAAGTAAAAGAGAAGAAAAAGCATGAACCGGTTAAATCGCAGCTTAGTCACCTTATATGTAGATGACTCATCAACAGCAGCCAGCAGAATTAATTAATTAATCAGTGGTTTTCAATTATGCAATACCAATTGCCATTTATAAATAACCCACATTTAATACTCTCTACCTCTCTCCGCACACTCTCTCTTATGCTTGCACTAAGACCGTTTGGCATTTTATCAGTCCAAAACATGCGTCAGTGTCGAACGAGCTGGCAACGCTGCGAAGCTGCCAACTTTGCCGGCCGGCCTGCTTGCCTGTTTGCTAAACGTTTCGACCTGTTTTGCTTTTGTGCAAAAAAAATAAGAGAACTTTTTTGCAAACTCGAATTCTATTTGTACATGTACATATGTATATGTTTGTGTTTGCAGCTAGGTTTCAAATTTAAGTGCATGATTTTTTTCTATTATTGACAAATGATTTTGACACTTAAGACGAGCAACGGCGCCAGGCAAATCTTGCCAGCAGCGGCTACAACAATGGACGCAACTTATTCATTGACTGCGGCGTCGCTGCCGGTGGGTGAATTATGTGTATATGTATAAGTGTGTTTGTGTATGTTTCTTTTCGCTTGCTTCTCTTGGCATTTTGCACAAAAATAAAACAATAACAAAGCAAAACAAAACGCAACGATGACATCAACATTTTCAGTCTCCACTTCTCTCATTTATACATATATACATGCACACACACGGCGAATTTTAATGCTGATGATAATTGTGAAAAGTGCGCAGCAAAAGAAGAAATTGCACGAACGTTGCCAGAGTTGACGTCAACCGTAGGCAGAGCAAAAGAGGGCAAACGAATATTGAGTGTGAAGAGCAGAGAGCGGCAAGGTAATCAAGATCAGCACAGAAGAGTGTGGGGAGAGTTGTGCTTGTTCTTGTTTGTGTGTGCGACCGTGCAAATTGCTGAAAATCAAAAACAAAATTGGGCCATAAGCAACAACAATAACAGCACACACACACACACACACACACGCACACAAATCAAGTTCAACAGATGGCGCACATTTGCATTTCGACTGGCCATGGGGGGGGGCGCTTTAGTTTGATGTCGCCAGGGGCAGGTGGCGTTGGGGCCGGCTATAACTTTTCAATGCGTCCAAAATGGTACAGCAAACAACATGCAAAGACAATTTATAGAGTCGCAAATTTTTGCGCAAAGCCAACAAATCACTTGAATTATTGAATCGTCGTCGTCGTCGTCGTCGTCGGCGTCGACGTTGTTGTATCACATGGCTCGTTAGAAAACCAAACTGGGCAACCGAACAGACGACAGTGGCCATTAAGCGCATACAAATATGGTTTGCAGTAAGCTGACAGCAGAGGGTCTAACTCTTTTTGGCCATACGCACACTTACATTATGCATATTATAAAAGCAATAAAATAGCTAAATGCCTAATAATGTGCAGAGAGAGAGACAAAAAGAGAGAGAGAGGAAGAGAGGCGGCGAGCGGCGCAATGACTAAGCTCGCGCTGGGGCGGTGGCAAAAGACAGCGACCACAAACTATAAAAAACAATGCCAAATTAAGCGACAGCAGAAGACACACGCACACACAAACATGCACATTAAATAATGTGCGTCTATGTAATTTCTATTTATAAATGTTTGGGCACACTCAATGTAGTTGACACAAGCAAAGGAGCCAAAATCTATTAATTGAGCATGCAATCTGCACTCTCTCTCTCCCTCTCTTTGCCATTCACTCACTATCGCGCTCTCTTTCGCAGCCTTTGATGTGTTGCAGCTACTTAACTGTGCAATAATAACAAGCACTGTGCGCTGCACTGTTACTGTTACTGTAACTGTTACTCTTTGTACATAATGCTAATGATGTTGAAATTGTGTGTGTGTGTGTGTGTCTGTGTGTGGCAAGCAACAGCAGCTGTAGAGGTAGCAGCCAGTGCGCGCCACATGCAACTGCAGCACGCAACATGTTGCCAATGTTGGCAGGCAGTCTGCCTATATGGTTTTTTCTCTAGTATTTTTTTTTTTTGTTTTTTTTTTTGGTAGCAGCTCATGCTGCACATCATTAATCTTCCAATGTTGATTAATGCACCATTTTATGCTATTTTCATTATTTTTCTACACATTTAACAACAAAACAAAAAACAGTGCTGCAGCTGAGGCATGAAACCAACGCCAGGGGGCGCCCTTTGTGTGTTTAGTTTTTTGCTTGATTATTTCTTCTTAGTTATAATTGATTTTTTTTTTTATTGCCTTAATCTTCTAGTCTGGCTAGCAGCTCGCAGACCGGAAATGATAGAAGTCTAGAAAAATGCACCTCGACACAAATTGCGCTCTGCCTGCACTATGAATCGAACATTCTGCTTAGTCAGCTACGAATTCCAATCGATTGGGAACAGTTGCGCAGC